GGACAACGAGAGAGAACGCAAACGGGACTAAGCTCTGGAAAATTCGGCCGATCGTGAACAAGCTCCAGGAGCTTTTCTTGGCGGCATGGTCTCTTCCACCTGTATTTTCTTTTGACGAGGCCGTTTTACCGTGCACTTCGAGAAGAAATACTACCCGAATGTTCATGCCGGATAAGCCTCATCGCTACGGCTCTAAAAAATTTATGGTGTGTGATGCTAGGACCGCTTACTGCCATAGGTATTGTATTTATAATCTATGTCATAACTTACGTCGTGTGAGTTCTATTCTAATATCCTATGTCGTAACATGTAGATTTGAAATGTATGCAGGAAAACGAAATGCAGGTGATACTGGAAACAGTTCATTTGACCATAAGACGGGTGCTGCTGCCGTCGTCAGGAAACTGAAGGTCGTTCTCAGCGCAGACCGTCGCCATGCGTGGCACTTGGTCGTCATTGACCGCTTTTACTCTTCAGTACTCCTCGCTATCGAGCTTCTCGGAATGAGCGTGTACGTATTGGGCACTATTATGACGGACAGACTTGGCTTCGACAAGAACGTCAAAGCGGTACGCAAGACACGACCAGAAAGCACCCCTCGCGGCGCATTTAATTTCTCTCGCTGTGTTGACGTCCCCACCATGGTAGCTTACCACTGGTTGGACAGAAAACCTGTGCACTACTTGTGCACGGGATCAGTGACAGTGATGCCAAAAATACATTGCAGGTATTGGTACTGTTTGCAATACTGAGAAATACTTTATTGCAAGCGCTCTGGGGTATTGCAGTACATATTGCGGCAACGCTGGGAACTGCAGTACATATTTTCCAGCAATTTCGGCGATCCCTTTTAAAGTCGGTTCCGAAAGGTCGCAGTGTTTGCGCGTCAAGTCTTTTGGCGCGAACTCAGAGGCCCATCGAGTGGCCAGCAGCGTTCGCGCCTTCAAAATGGGCGCGAATTTGACCGCTCCACCACCAGCTAGCTCTTATTCTGCTTTTTGCAGCCTTCCCTGCAGACGCCATGGCCCTCCAGTCCAGCCCGCTTTCTATCGACCGCATTCCCGCAGACGTCCGCTTCTACTACGACATATCGGTCGTCGACGGCGAGGTCTCGTAGACGTCTGCGTCAGCGGAGCGGCTGTTCAGCAGCGCAAAACACGTTCTTTCGTTTCACCAGAAAGCGCCTGACACCCGTCAACTTCGAGAAAATCTTGTTCTCAAGCGTAATCGTTTTCTTTGAAACGCCAGCATGGTAGCTCAGGCGATGAAGGATGCCGGTGGCAGTAGCAGCAAGGCTGGTACGCAGGATTAGTACTGCAATAGTACTGCAAACTCGCCGAGTATTGCAATACTTACTGGAGACAGGGGGGGGGGGGGTAGTTGCCGTAGATATTGTTTGCGCTTAATGTTTTTACAATGCCCCGCAATGTATTTTTGGCCATCACTGCCGTACGCAGATGAGCTCATTCAGTGGATCAAAAACATGCGTCGTGAGGACTTTGCACTAAAGACTAACCACTGCGTTGCCTTTGTTAAAGAAGAAACACTGCGTGGGCGTCAAACTACTTGTTGACGCGCCAGGAAGACAGTCTGCGGCGTGCAATCTGTCGTGTTGCGCTTAGCCGAGGCTTTTCGTTTTGGCGATCCAATAAAACTATCACATCGAGCCGACAGCTTCTTGAAGAGCAGCAACGTTTTGCCGCGGAGGTTGGCCGGGTTGTCAGCCAGGTCTACCTGCGTGAATGCATCTACAACGCTGATGAAACTGTAGTCTACTACGAAGAAGACCCCGGCGTTATACTGGCTGAGCGCGGGCAGAGCATTTCCGCTCGAGTGAGAGGACGCCGCCGTTCAGATCGTGCGAGCGTGCTGCTAACAGGTTCGGCGGCTGGAAGAAAGTAAAAACCATTGATCATATTTCGCGGCCAGCCAGGGGGCATAATTGAGCGCGACATGGCTGCATACTCGAATCAAGTCGCTGTAACCGTCCAGCAAAACGGCTGGATGGATTCAAGGGCTTGGATCGAGACGTTTATCATATGGTCAGTGGGCAGAGTTTGTAAGTGACGAATTTCCAGATCCCCTAGTTATCTACGTTGACAACTTGAAGTGCCACGTGACTAAGGACGCGCAGGAAGCATTTGCTTCGTGGGGGACCGAGCTCGTGGCCCTGCCTGAGAATACGACTGCTGTGCTACAGCCTCTGGACGTGGGTGTCATGGGGCCATTCAAGAAGAAGCTACGGTCTCTGACGCTATCCTACGACTTAGCCTCCATCCAGAGTAATGTGACGTTGCCTCTAAGAGAGAGACTGCTAGCGCTCAAGCGCATGTCTGCGGACGAGAAGAGAAAACTGCTTGTAGATCGCGTAGTGACAGCTTGGGCAGCTATTGACGAGCGCTGCATTAAGCGAGCCTGGGAGAAGTCTGGACTGTAAAAAAATTCTTTGCTTGATTGGATAAAAATATTTTGGATTTGCAAGTATAGTTAACGAAAAACCTAATGTGTCATATTAAAGTGTCTTCGTCTGTAATCAATATCAACCTAATATTAGCTAATACGATCAGGGGCTAATGGTAACCAAATATCGTATGATATTTTTGATAGTAATATTACTATTTTTGATATTAAATATAAATAGTAACTCCTTTTTGCAAAAGTTAACATAATATTTTAATATTAACTTGGAAAACTGAAAAATATTAGATTCTACATAATATTTTATGATATTATCCCACTTAAGTACGTTTCTTGCCACCTTACCCTCTGTGAACCGAGCGGAGCCAAATAACTTTTTCGATCAGGTTCAAGAAAAGCAGTAGGCTTTAAGACTGACGAGTATTTGCTCTAGTACTGTACTGTGACCAGGGGTTAATGGTAACTCCAAAATCGGTGAAGTTAATATTGTGAAAATATCACCTGTAGACCAGTTAATATAAAAAATATCACCTAATATTTTCTTTTGAGACAATATGATATTATTAAATATCAACTTAATATTAGTTAATACGATATTATATTTTTCAATGATTGCGTAATCGGGCTACATTAAC